CCTTTAGAATCGTCAGACCCCAAGGCACTTGCTCCTTTACCCTCCTTCCCCCCTCAGTTGGCAGGCCTGCCGCGAGGGGTTTGATAACATGGAAGGTGACCAAGGCAAATGCTGTGGCTGGATTGGCAGGACTTGTGTGTGACTGGTACGAACCCTGCTGCTAGCTGAGGGCCACGCTAACCTGACAGACTTAGAGATGAGCTCCCAGGAAATCCTGTGTGGATAACCCCAGGTTCAGGGGGGTGACTGCAGGTGGAGGTTTGGGTTCTCTATAAACGAGCGTGCGAGAAGGAAGCGTTGCTCCTCTCCTCATTCCTATCCCATGCAGCACAGCCAGCTAGGCATACTGAGGGTGGAGGCCATGTTTCTCTGAAGCACCTGTCACTGCTGGAGATGGGCTCCAAGGTCTCATGGACCAGTTACCTGATGAACCCAGGGGGCAGCGCTTGTAGGGTTTATCATGCACCAGAAAGGTAGGGATTATAGGTTGCAAATAAAGACCCCCAATCCTGCAAGCGAGTCTGTGTAGACAAGACCACGTTAGAGACAATCAGGAGCCATTCAGATCCCGGGATCTGCCTTTGCAGGTGCATTCTTCTGGCCGTCTGTGCTGATATTTGTCTGCACGCAGTGTCATGGGGGTGTATTATGGCCATGTTGAGAGGCTCCCCACTGAAATCAGGGCTCCACTGTGCTAGATGCTGGAGAGAGGGGCTTGTGATCGAAACAGACCAGAGGGGCGAAAGGTGGGAGGGGAAGCAGAGGGGACTTGGCCAAGGTCTCCCCGTTGGTCAGTGCAGAGTCATTCATAGAGCCCAGCTCTCCTCCGTCCTAGACCAATGCCCGGCCCACTGGCTTATGTTGGATCTCATTTTTGCTCCCCCCCCCCAACATCTTCCTGTGATCTAAGGATGGGAGCGGGGTCAGGACTTTTGTTCCCTAACCTGGAGCCACCTGGTCATATTTCCCCCCAAATGTGGACATGCGTGTAATGTGTCTTTCCACCAGACGGTGGCTGCTCCATGCCAATGAAAGGGTGAACGACTGAAAGGCAAGGATTGCTTCACAGACCCAGGTGGTAACCTGCCACGAGACCGCTTCAATGATTTATTTAACAAGAGCTGCTTCACGAGAGGTGTGCAACTGTGCTGGCAAGGAAATGCAGAGAGGTGTCTGACAAACATCATGTCACTGGGAGGAGCAGGGAGACAATGAACTTGTTGGACCAAATTAACCTTATTGTTGCCCCTTTCAAAGCTAAAAATAGGAGTGTAAATGTTGGCACCATCTGTGGCCCTGCGTGTGGCCTGTTGGATGGTGTGTAACGATGCACAGGGAGGGTACTTTACCTTAGGGAAGTGCTTGCATAGTGGCTAGGGACATCGTGAATTAGCACTTGGAAGATCTAGGTCGATCCCCAGGTTCTGCAATAGGGCTGTTTTGTGACCTCTCGCAAGTCACTTAATCTTTCCCTGATTTTGTTTTCCATCTGTGAAATGGGAATAATAATCCTCCCTACGTCTGGTTTGGCATTGATTTTTTTTCAAAAACGCCCATTGCTCCCTGGTGAGCTCCACGGGCGGTAGATGAGCACTTTGAAAATATGGCCACTGACGTGCTCATGTAGCACCAGGCACAGTGAAGCAGCAGTCTGAGCTGGGGCCTCTGGTGTCGACTGGAATACAGATGACTAATATTAATGCCCCAGAATGAATATTTAATAGTGAACTTCACCTCTACAGAAATCTAGCTCTAGACTTTTCCTTCTGCCTCCTGTTGCCTTGGCGCCATGTTCAGAGCCAGCTTTGGAAACTGCACACCGAAGACCTAACCATTCCTTTACATGCATGAGTTAGAATTGCTTGCCTGGGTGTTTAAGCAGAGATGATAACCCTAAGAGGTATAACACACACACGTCTTCTCAAACTAAGCGGTAACCGTTTGTTACTTTACCTGAATGGCAGCTGGTCAAA